CAAATTTATTTAATTTGCTTCTATTATTGCTAGATTTTTATAGTGAAATAGTAGGTAGGTGGGGGTGTCGGTGGAAAATGGGAATGCAATAATAATAATTTATGGGGTTTAGTTGGGTAGTAGGGTCCACAAGAAACAAGAGCTTATTTCTTTTTTTCTTTTTTCTTTTTTTTTTTTAAGCATTCCGCTCGATTTTATCATAAAAACTAGGGAAAATTGCAGTCCCTAACCTTTTCTTTTTTTGTAGACTTTATATTAACTTTCATTTTGTACCAGCGAAAATTCCTAACCTTTCATAAATATACACCTAAGATACATCTGAATGAAAACTATCAAAAATACTGTCAGTTGATCGAAAAAATTTCTTGAACTATCTGCTATCGCAATGGTTTTATTGAATATTGATGCATTTTTGATCGGTGTTTTTGGGCGATTTTATTGAATGTTGATTTCTTAAATTTTTCTGGTCAACTGACGGTGTTTTTTATAATTTCTATTTAGATGGGCCTCTGATGTATATTTATGAAAGATTAGCTGTTATAAAATAAAGATTAGGATAAATTCTATAAAAAAATAAAAAAAATTAGAGAGCATTGCTACAATTTTCCCTAAAAACTATAGCATATGGAAATATGCCGAGAGACGTGTGACGTGAGTACCCTTCCAACTGTCACGAATAATTATTAGAATTCTATCTAAGTTTACATTATTTAATAAATGAACACATGATTCAGCATGTTGGCATATGCTATGATTATTCCTTCCCTGTTTTAAGCAACTACATTTGTTTGAAAGTTTAGTTAGTATGAAAACGATTTATTGAATTAGTTAGATTTAACTTAAGATTTAGGAAGATATCTTATCCACATTGGCAGTAGTTCGCCAACTGGAGTCCCTATTTTATTTTAATTCTTATAATATCAAGTCCATGTATTATTTTGATTTGTATCTATGAGCTTGTTTGATAGGAATTTTGATAATTGATTTTTTGATCGTTAAAGATAAAATGAATCTTACTTGTGAGAAAAGAAATAAAAAATGACGACTAGAATAGTGAAATAACAATCAGAAAATGATTTTAATTAACTTTCAATCCATTACAAAAAAGCACTAGATGATATCATATTATCATAGTACACAGTAATTCGTTTTACGGGTACGAGAAAATTAGGGTTAAGCTCCCCGGCGTTTCAATTATATAGCTCCTCAACCTTCAAAAGTGAAATTGACTTCCCAATCTATTCACACACTTTAGAGAGCCAAGATCTCACGGCTAAGGACTCAATCCTAACACTTACTGAAAGGTTGTGGAGCCTAACCCCCTCATTTTTCATATGAATATTACAACGCAAAGCCGGCACGTGGTTCCAAAATCATCCGGTATAATTTTGACGATAGTACAGCATAATTGTTAAAACACGAGCCAAACATGATAGCTCAATAATAATCCGATTGCTAACTTAGTCCAAACATATTGACTTGACATGCTAGTACGTGTTTGATTCATCAATTTCTCAATCGAAAAGTCAACCATAATCACCATACGTCCGAGGGTAAACAAAAACACTCTAATGCTTTACGCTGATATTAAACAGTCGAAATAAGGAAAGGTAATTAAATTGGTTTTGGTAGTCAATTGTATTATTAGTTCCTGGTGGGAACAATTGACACTTTGCGGCTAAATAAAAGAATAATAGATTTGTCTAGGCATTAGGAGTGGTTTCCATGTTCTAATTTGTTTTTCAATGAAAGCTGTCGCGTCATTGGATTCATGACTCTCTACACTAATATATTGTTAAATAACACAGTCCAACTCATTCTTTCAACTATTCATCCATTATTGAAGGCTCTTTTGCTAATAATCAACAATAAATGTAGAACAAAAAAAAATTTATGTAACCACTGATTTCCATATCATTTCGGATTGAGACTCGTCATCAACTTGACGTGACGAGATCACCAGAAGAAGATTTAGCCAACCACTAATGACTTTAGTATCATGCAAATAATGTTCGAGTACTATGTACCAACTGTATCCATAAAATCAATCAACTACATGGAGCTGAAGGTCGAGGCCTCAATACCATCTAGTAGTATTCAATCCTTCATATGGAACAGTACCATAAGGGATAAGGGATCACGGCTCATTTCTTCTCCTTTTTGCTTTCTGTTTATGTGAAAGACTGCATGTTTTATTTGGTCGAACCTAAAAATTCGCTATTAGCTATGCTAGTGACAGGCAGCCATCATTCAGTGATCTTAATACAAACTAACTTGTCAACCAGAAAATTGGTGATTCACCAAAGATAATAATGAACACGAATTTGACCACTGTACGGAGTGATATTGTTGATATGCCACAAAAATCCAGATGAAAACCCAAACAATTGAGGGCTGAAAAAAGAAAAGAGAAAACACACTCAAAGGTTCTCTAAGAAACAAAAAGATCCAAGATGATTACCATAGAATTGAAGCCCTCCCATGTAATAGAATATAAGGGAGAGAGGGAAAAACCAGAAACTTCAGAGTTGCTTTACTGTTGTATGCAAGACAACTCTACTGTTGCTTGCACTCTGGAGGGCGTTCACCCTGTTGACCTTCCCCGGCTCTTGCTCTACCACCCTTCTACAGATAAACCCTTGGGATTATCAATCCTACACCACTTGATATCCTTGAGATATTTAAGAGCCTCTTCATCGCGCTCCGAGATCTAATCAAGAAGCAAAAAAATTGTCATCATTAAAATGTAGGGCATACAGAAACTAGAAACGTCCAAAATTATCTACCTCTTCTGCCAGTATTTCATTAGTCTTCATTGCCATAAGCCAGAAGTCAGGCACACCTTTAGCTGAATGAAGTTGTAAATTAATGTCAGTTTGGACTGCGGAAGATGGTAAGAGCAAGAAAACAGATAAAGGAATTTTAGACAGGAAAGACATCAACCAATCCACAAATAAATATGCTACTGTACAACAAAGAAGAGGAAAACAATCTACATTCTTTTAGTTTGTCCTCCCCCTGCTCCATGGGGGTTTCAGTAACTCCTTCAACTTCAACAACACCGTTTACAATTTCATAACGCTGCACTTTGTTCAAGAAAAAGATGTTAATAGATTCAGAAAACACAAACTATCAAATCAAAAGCATCACAATACATTGTCTACAATGATTTAGAAAGAAACCACAAGCAGCAGTCCATTCACACAAATGCCCGTACTTTTGTGTATAGAGGTTCATAAAGTTTCTGATATTTAGCTTCCAGAGCTGCTCTTTCCTCGAAAAACTTTGCCTCTAGCTCATCATGTTGACTCTGCAAAATAGAGAGGTGTCCGTCCTATAACACAACATTTCTGTACATATCTAATGAAATATTGTCCATGACACTTGGAGAAACCATCTCAAACTAAGATGCACAGCAATATTTAAATAAAATACCATAAGCCAATTGCCATGCAACTAGGAAGTGCTTCCATATATTCAAACTACAGCAGGCATGAGCAGCTATATTTTGGAATTTCAAACTTAGGACAATAGCAAAAAGGATTATGATGCCTTATTGGTAAGTTTACCTTAGGGTGTCCAAGTCACAAAATCATTTTATTTTTAAAGTGCCACCAAAAAAAACAATACCTAATAAATGGTGCCACAAATTTTTTTGAGCCCCATCCTTTATCCATATATAAGGTCAACCTGTATATCAAATTTTATTACCGTCAGAATCTAAGTGTGCGAGGGAATCGTGCAGAGAAAGAACTAGCCAGCTTTTTTCTAGATGACGAAACCTCTATTACAACCCCAGGTTCATATTCATTATCTATCACCACAACTTATTGTACAGCCATTCTTTCTCAGCGTTTCAAGACTTTCTCTGGCAAAGTTATATAATCACTACATCCAACTTCCTTTCATTTCATACACTTGCTCAACATGTGAATTACAATGTGCCCCATCTCCAAAAGGATTCTTCATAGTCCAGTAATGCTCAACTTGAAAGACAGAAAGGTTTCCATAAAACTGTAAAAAGGACTGTCCCTCAAAACACAATATCAACGGCTTGCCCAGAAAAAAATAAAAAATGAAAAGCATGAGACACCAAGGTTTGGGCGCGACAGGGTGAATAGAAGGGAAGGGAATATTCACAGCTTTCAAAATTGCAAACATAGAGAAACGAAACAAATGCTTCAGAGCATTTTATGCGGAATTAATATTCACAGAGTGCATTACTTCTCCTCCATTTGCCTCGTAACTACTTAATTCCTTCCTTGCTTTCCACCAAAACTAATAGCACAGAGAGCATTAGATTCTTGTAATATTAATGGTTTTGCAAATGAGGAATAAAAAAAACATGCAGTTTCCACAAAATCATAGAATTGTGGACGTTGCTAGTGGCAAGATTAAATAAAAATAAAATGTGTGATGCATAAAAATGGAATGAAGAGGATAGTGATACTGATATTTGAGGAATATTCACAGCTTTCAAAATTGCAAACATAGAGAAACGAAACAAATGCTTCAGAGCATTTTATGCGGAATTAATATTCACAGAGTGCATTACTTCTCCTCCATTTGCCTCGTAACTACTTAATTCCTTCCTTGCTTTCCACCAAAACTAATAGCACAGAGAGCATTAGATTCTTGTAATATTAATGGTTTTGCAAATGAGGAATAAAAAAAACATGCAGTTTCCACAAAATCATAGAATTGTGGACGTTGCTAGTGGCAAGATTAAATAAAAATAAAATGTGTGATGCATAAAAATGGAATGAAGAGGATAGTGATACTGATATTTGAAGTAATTTCCTAAATGTTCCAGTACTAGGAAGAAAAATGAACAGCAAAGATTTACACAATATGCACATATGCTCAATGAATCGAATTGTAAGAATAAACAAGAACCTGGATCTCCCTCAGAACCTCAACACGCTTCCGAACTATTGGAGACAGAGTTTCAAGTACATCCGTGTGCTGCCCAGCCAGATTTTGTAATTTATCCTGTTAATCAAACCAAGACACAACAAATCAAAAAGTGACGAACAGATCAAGAAAAGACCATGAACACAATCACAAAGCTTAAAATAGTCAGTCTGTGTGTAAAGTGTAAAATTCACCGACCTTTAGAGCATTTACTAAACCAGCGCGATCCTCCACACTCAAAGCTACGTCAAAAAAATAAAACAATTAACGACAACCATACAAATCCACACATATACACTCACAATTAGGGATTAGGATTTTCTTACCGGCGGCAGCAGCGGGAAGGGAGGAATCGAGGTCGGACATGTCTAAGCTGTCTTTGTCTGGGTTACTCATGACAGTAAGAGAAAAGAGAAACCCTAGAGAGAGAGGAAGTAAAAAGAGGGAAATTTGGGGACGCAAAGAGAGGGAATACGTGTGTTTCCGCGGGACAGTGGAATAAGTGAAAATGTAGGGTACCTTCGATTTTGGGCTTGTTTGTGCCCATTATTTGTGAATAATTTATTATGGAATAATAATTAATATTGAAATATATTGTTAAAAAAATATTATTTATATGTAATTTATTTTAATGAGAAATGTGTGATTGAAAATAAGTATTATAGAAAAAAATAATGTGGCAGAATTTGATATAATGATAGAAAAATAAAACCTTATTTTTCAGTTTTGAATTCATTTTCTATTTTTTTTTTGATGAATTACTTTAAGATGGTAGAAAATGCATTTGATTTGTCATTTTAAAAAAGTTGTTTCTCAAACAAAAAAAAAAAAAGGATAAAGAGTTTGGTTTAAAATTTTACAAAATAGTTCTATGACACTTTTAGGAACTTGAAGAAAAAAAAAAAGAGATTTTGTGTGATTTTATTAATTATTTCAATTTGATAAATTTTTAAATTCATTTTCCTTGTTTCAAATTTTTAAATGTTTTCAATAAAATAAAATAAAATTCATTCTAAGTTTTATATTATGAAGTGTGTTTGAGTCACATTATGTTGGAAGAATGTAAGTAGATTGATGGAAAATGTTTTGTTAAAAAATGAGAAAAATTTTTGGATTTACATGTAATATTATTTTATTGAAGAATGTGTGGTGGAAATTATGTCAAATTACTGTTTGAGAACGTATTTTTTTGAAAGAATGCAACTCAAATAGAGCAAAAATTTCTTTGTTTTTTAAAACATATTTTTGAAAATACCATATCAAACATATTTTGAATGTTTTAGAAGATTGAAAATTTGACATCAAAACGATAAACCAAACACACTTGTAAGATTTGAACGAGGCCAAGCTAGAGAGTGGACGTGAAGTGGCACGTTAAGCATGATTAAGGAGCGTACATCATACTACCCAATTAGAGAATCAATTGTCGATGTAAGATGGGTTGTGCATCAGACCCGAAAATGATTTGTACAATATGCCCTAAAGAATCTAAAATTACATTTTAAATAAATTTTGATAAGAAGTGTCGAAATGTATGATCATGAGTAAAGTTACTTATACCTAAATATTTAGAGATTGGTGTACAGATTGATGGCATAATATTGTGCCCTTGTTTGACAACATCATTTGAGTGAAATGGAGTTTTGAATAGTGATTTTTTTGAGAATATGTAGTTAAAAATAGGAAAATGTCTTTGGTTTATATGAAAAATATTTTATTTTGTGAATATGTAGTTGAAAATAAATATGTAAAAAAAAAGAGTTTTGAAATAATTGTTGTCAAAGGGCTGATAAAAACTAACATCCAAATTTTTAATCTAAGTCAAAGTCAACAATTAATTTTAACCACATATTTTATGGGACCCACAAATTTTCAAGTTTCAACAATACATTTAATCTACTTTTATTAAAATATACTAAAAATCTGATATTAATTCCCACCAAACCTACTGATTTCTGCCTACTCCATACTCTACAAATTGCCAAAAGTTTTCTCTCTTCATGAAGTATACAAAATTTTAAAATCTTTTTACATAGAATTAAATGAGTAAATTGGGATTGTGACAATTATGGTATCAAAGCCCAGGTTTTAAATTCGATCTTGTAACGTGACATACATGCAATTCCATCTTCTAGCATCCATTCGCGAGGTAAGTCTTATAATTTACGTGAAACTTTTTCTTATTACTTTAGAAGTCGGTAATATAAAGTGAATCTTTCATTAATAAGGATATATAAATATAAATATAATGCTTCATAAGGACACCAAATTACAAGATTTTTCTTATAGATCATTAACGGACATTGTTGTTTTGCAATAGCCAGGAAATGTCTCGAAATGGTCAAAGTGATAGTAACACTGCATCAATTGAACATTTGACTCGATTGGTCCGACGTCAAACTCGATAGATAAATCAACTAATCAACAACTACACTTCCAATGGAGAATCTTCCAGGACTAACGAAGAAAATGATGCTAGTAATCGTTTTCAACGATTAAAACCCCGGTGTTTAAGAATGTGAAAGATCCAATTGAAGCGGAAAATTAGATTCATATCATGGAACGTATGTTTACATATGCACATATTCCAGAATCCAAAAAAGTTATATGTGCATCATTTATGTTAAGAGGAAATACTGGACATTGGTGGGATACATTAACCAGCATTGGAGAAGCTCAAGACATGACCTGGGAAACCTTTTGCGAAAATTTCAAGCAAAATATTTCTCTTCTGCAGCCAAATAGCAAAAGTTAAATGAATTTCTATTTTTAAAACAGGAATCAATGACTGTATCTGAGTACATTACGAAGTTTGAATAATTGTCACGTTTTGCGACTCACGTGACCACTACTAGCGAAGTAAAAATTGATCGTTTCATTGGAGGGCTAAAACCAGAATTGTCACGAGATGTACAAATGTCAGGAATTCAAGACTTGGATTTTTCCATGGTAATAGATAAGGCATTAGTGGCAGAACAAGCAGAGGCTAAAATAACTCAAGCCCGAGAAATGAGAACCTCGAGTAATAGGCATTGGAACGGTACCACTAAAAGTATCAGGATTGGCAAAAATACTCCTTGGTTCCCAAACAAAAAGGTTCGAATGGAAGACAAATCCAAGGAGACAACACCTTCATCGTGTGCTCATTGTGGAAAATTTCATAGTGGGCCTTGTCAACTTAAACTCGGATTGTGTTTTGGTTGTGGAAAAGAAGGCCATTTGGTAAAGGATTGTCCAAACAACAGAAGAACAAATCAGCAGAAACCCAGTCCGCCAGCAGGTAGAGTATTTGTAATGGTACAACCTGAAGTTACCGAAGATGCAAAAGTCGTTACAAGTACGATATATGCCTATGCTACACCTGCTTTTACCCTATTTGATTCAGGTGCCACTCATTCTTTCACATCCATTAAATTTTTGCATAATCTGAATATTAAACCAACTCTAGTACAACATAATATGGACATTGTTACCCCTTGTGGACCAAATCGCCATGCTAAATTTATTTTACCCAAGGCTAGCTTGTATATTGAACATATGGAACTTCCAGCAAACCTTATCCTACTCGACTTTCATGATTTTGATATTATATTAGGCATGGATTGGTTAACCACCTATGAGGCTTTAATTGATTGTAAGTCCAAAACTTTGAAGCTTCTAGGCAAAAACATTGTATCCTTTCCGATACATGAGAAAACATCTAGAACTATAATTTCGGCAACCAAGGCTACCAAGCTTTTAACTCAAGGACATGCTGGGTATTGGGTAAGTTTGTACCAACTTACTGCAGACAAAGGTATTACCCCATCATCAATAGCTGTCGTCTAAGAATTCCAGGATGTATTTCCTGAGGGCTTACCTGGGCCACCACCTGATCGGGAAATTGAGTTCGGCATAGAAATACAACCAGGTACTCACCCTATATCCAAAGCTCCATACCGAATGGCCCCTTTCGAGCCTAAGGAATTAAGAAGCGAATTAGATGACTTGTTAAAGCGAGGATTCATCCAACCAAGTACATCTCCATGGGGTGCTCCAGTTCTTTTCGTTAAAAAGAATGATAGATCTTTACGACTTTGTATCGATTATCGGGAACTTAATAAGATCACTATTAAAAATAAGTACCCGTTACCCCATATTGATGATCTATTGGATTAGCTACATGGTTCTGCGATTTTCTCGAAAATAGACCTGTGATCTAGATACCATCAATTGAAGATTAAAAAGTAAGACGTTCCTAAGTCCGCATTTCGCACTCGTTATGGGCATTTCGAATTTCTTGTAATGCCATTTGGACTGACAAATGCACCAGCAGTATTTATGGACCTAATGAATCGAATCTTTAAGGACTATCTCGAAAAATTTGTCATTGTATTCATTGATGATATTTTAGTCTATTCAAAACCAAGATGATCACGCAAACCATCTTCGTACAGTCCTACAGATCTTAAGAGAAAAACAGCTTTATGCTAAATTCTCAAAATGTGAATTTTGGTTGGAAAAAGTGGTGTTTTTAGGACATGTTATCACCAAAGAAGGAATTTCGGTAGATCCCAGTAAGATTGATGCAATTCTTAAATGGGCGCAACTAACTACACCTACCGAAGTGCATAGTTTTCTTGGGCTAGCTGGTTATTATCGACGATTTGTACACAACTTCTCGAAGATCGCTTCTCCTTTGACTCAGCTCACATGGAAAAATATTCCATTCAGATGGACAGATGAGTGCGATAGGAGTTTTCAAAAACTTAAAACAGGGCTTACCACTGCACCCATTTTAACTACTCTTGATGGAGCGGGAGAATTTACGATTTATAGTGATGCCCCAAGAATTGGGTCAGGTTGTGTGTTGATGCAACATGACAAGGTAATTGCTTATGCCTCCCGACAACTGAAATCTTATGAACTAAACTATCCTATACATGATTTAGAATTGGCAGCCATTCTTTTTGCACTTAAAATATGGCACCACTATCTTTATGGAGAAAAATGTGAGATCTTCACAGATCATAAGAGCTTAAATTATTTCTTTACCCAAAAAGAGTTGAAGATGAGACAAAGAAGATGGTTGGAATTAATCGAGGATTATGATTGTACCATTAGATACCATCCAGGAAAAGCAAATGTAGTTGCTGACGCACTAAGCAGAAAACTTTCCCACCAGGAGACCTTTGACCATTCAAGTGAAGATCGGGAAAGCTCCCAGTTAAAAGAAAAAGGACCAAAAGGGAAACGATTATTCACTCTTACTGTACAATCAATCATCAAAGAGAAAATCAAAGAAGGTCAGAAAAGCGATCCTTTTGCTACTAAGATTCGACAAAACTTAGCTAGCAGAAAACCAACAGATTATCGTATTTCGGATCAGGGAATCCTTCTATACAGAAATCGAATATATGTACCTAATATAAACGGACTATGGGATGATATTCTATACGAAGCACAAACAACCCCTTATACTGCTCACCCTGGAACCACCAAATTATACCACGACGTTAAAACATT